TTTGAACTGATCCACTATAGTTACATTTATAAATTGGAATGAACTAGTTAAAAGTAAAAAAAAGAAATTCATCATACAGTTTATCTTGTTTGTTTTTTTTACAAAACAGTTATGAAAAATAAATCGTATACACATGTTATTACATTATTTGTTTAAAAAACTTTTTAAGATGTGAAAATTCTTCTCAAGTATTATAATGAAAAAAGTCAGGAGAAAACAAATTGAAAAAAAATCATACACACAATGAAACTATATATATATTATATATTGAACAAGTGTAGTAGTGAATGAGAAAAATACTACAAAATTCAGAAAAAAGTTTCATCTACTCTCTCTCTCTCTCCTATGTATGTATGTATGTATAGTGCCTTCAGGAAGTGTTTGTCTCTTGATTGTCTGGATTAAATGTTTGATAACATCATTGATTTTATTATTATTATTATCTCCTATAGTAGTAGTATTAGTATTAGTAGTAGTAGTAGTAGTAGGTAGGTAAAATTCCATGACGTTGTTGATCCCAAAGTTTTCTATAGTATGAATCTGATTGTGCTAATAGACTAGAATGTGTACCACGTTCAGATACATGACCATTTTGTAAAACTAAAATTTCATCAGCATCAATAATTGTACTTAATCGATGTGCAATGACAAGTGATGTAACACCAGTGTAACTTCTGTTAATCGTTGAAGAATAGTCTATATTTGTTTTTAATAAAGAAATTGGAAAAAAACAGAATTATATATATATATAATAGTAATCGATGTTTAGAGACCTTGAATGACATGACTCAAAACCGTTTGCAATGGCGCAAGTGTTCTCTGAAATTCTAATCTTTTGAATTCTTCATCACCTCTACCATTCTCTTTCTAAAGTTATCTCACAAGATTAAACTTCTTGAATAATTTCTGTGAACGCTAGTCTTACCGATTACAGCTAATACTTTTACTACTGTTAGGATATTCACCAAATATCCTAAGAGTACTATTTTTGGAAGTATAATCCTATTGGTCAAAAATATGGCCGTTTTAACTGTCAAAGTCAAATACTTCAATGTTGTCTCTGATTGGTCAACTTAACTGTCAATGCCACAGAATTAGATGCTGTTTCCTATTCGACCAAAATGTATAAATACGCATTATTTGTAACATTTTATGACCAGGACCGGGGCTCGGTCCCGGATCCCTAGTCCGAGATCCTGATTCTCATATGGATTCGGACCTCGTACTTTTTGGATGCTTGTAGAATACAGGTTCTACTTCACATTCAAGTCTTCTTATTTTTACCAAATATGGTGGTTGGGATAATCGGATTAGAGTAGCTTGTCGTGTCACCGGATCCTCGATCCTCGCTCTTGTTTTCCGACTAGGTAAACTCGTAACAGTTCAAGTATATCAAGTTGGTGTTGTTACGTGCAGGCGTAATAACTACCTCTACTACTATGGGATTTGAATTGTCAATTACATCTGTCTGTGCTAATGTGGTATGACAACTTGAAATGATATACGTACGTACGAAGTTCTACGCTGTGACAGACTGAATGACTTCTCCTAAATTGAACAAATGATAATGAGTTAAAAAAACTGACTAATAACCAACCGATTTATCTGTTCATTCACGTGTGCTTAAACAACATTGTCACACATAAGCAGACTGTTTGTATTTGTTGACCCGATGACTCTCTTTAGTTTAATCCGTCTTATGATACTGATCCCTGAAGAAGTTTATCAGCATACTTAAAACCAACTGGTGGTCTAACAATGATTGATTGATGATTTCAATGTGTACAACCACTTATCTCCATAACTCTAACTGAAGATATTTAAAACGGTTTGGTACAACTCTAACTTAATCAGAGTATACAAACTGAACTGAGCAATTCTATATTCTAAAGAACGATTTCCAACTTTAAAGGAAAGACAATAAATAAGCTAATTAAATTGTATATAATTAATGTACTTCGGTATGATACAAATTTCGTACCACCTTCACTTACTCTGGACGGTCAATGATTTAAAACTGAGAAGTGTGCACTGTTAATGATGTGACATGGAGTAGTAGTTTGTATACAACAAAATTTAAAGCGACAACTGTATAGTCTAATATTCATGTCTGATGGCTCTTATGAGGTTTTTTTTGTTTGTTTACAAATAAATCTATTATACACTGGGACATATGTCACGTATGCCTAACCACCGACTACCTCGTCGAGTTATATATTGCGATGTAGAAATAGGTTGGAAGGAACCCAGGGGCGGTCAAGCCAAAACATGGCACAAATCCATGAAGTCACTGACAAGTAGACTGAGTCATGTTGGTAAGTGTAGACTATCTGATTGGGGTCCGCAAAATGATAGTAATCGATGGTTAGAGACCCTATATGAAATTGCACAAAACCGTTTGCAATGGCTCAGGTACATTCATTCTTTGGCTTCTCTCAAATTCTAACCTTCAGAGTTCCCCATTATCTTATTCTTTTGAGGTCTATTCTACTATGTTTTACTTCTTGAATAATATTATCGGACCTTAAAATCTCCGATTACTGCTAATACTTCCACTACCTCTACTACTATAGGATTTGAATTGACAATTGCATCTCTTTGCTACTGTAGTATAGCAACCTGAACTGATGTACGTACGTACGAAGTTCTACGTTGCTGTTGATTGGCTGATTGATTGACGAGAATTTCGATGAATATTGATTAAGAATTTTTTTTCTCATTTAATAGCCACTATTCATTATCATGAGTTGGAAGTGAGAAATATTTAATTAACTGAAATCTTAATTATAATAAAATCTAAAACAAATTAGACTTCAAATGGAGCCCATCGAAAAAAAACATACATGTTCAGTGATTGAATCTAGTGATGATGTTGCTTCATCGTAAATTAAAATTGGAGCTTTTTTCAATAAAGCTCTAGCTATTGCTATTCGTTGTTTCTCACCACCGCTTAATTTTAATCCACGTTCGCCAACCTATAATTTTGAGAACAGAAAAACTATAAGTTTCTAATACATTATTAAAACTGACGAACAATTGATCACTTAGTGAATTATTAGCAATAAATGTATACCGGATGTAATGTAGTGAAGGAGAACGCAGGTGAGGGCAACCGAATTGTATTTACCTCAAATTACAGAGCTATTTGGTAAAATAGAAAAAACCATATCGTAAATCGTTAATTTGCAAAATATCAGTCCATCATATCGAACTGGACTGTTCCTGTTGCAAACATCAATCAGTCTGACATTTCACTGTTCATGCGTTTCATACAAATCCCATTGTGTTGCCGCTCTTCCTTTCTTGATCTTCCCCCATCTTCTGCTGCCAGACATTACGTTTTTACTCGCATCACATACTACTTATAAGTAGCGCGCACCACAGTAGGTTATATTCATTAAAAATTATTATTAATTGAAGTACCATTGAAAACATGGTAGTATTGGATAATTGTTTTGTTCTAGTATGGAACAACTCAACAATCAGCTCCGAAGCTTACGTTAAAGATCGAATTAGGGACCTTCAGAGTTCTTAGCAAAAACCCTTAATCCTTAGAAACCACAAACTGAAGCCAGTCTTCAATAAGCCTCTTCTACTAAACTATAGCAATAAGGTCGGCAGTCATTTACTTCCAGAGGTTCTTGTAACTCTACGAAGAGCTTGTGACTGGTGGAGTTCAGACATGTCCAGAGTGACATGTCTGATGTATCGTGAATTGATTGGAGCCTTACTACCCGGCCAAAACTCGATGGTTCTAGTGGTTTAGCTCTTGCCGTGACACATGAAAACTCCTGAGTTTGGATCCCGGAGGGGGGTGATGAATGTTCACTGCTGACGGGCCTTTTACTATAAAACAGCCGTCCATTGTCCCTTGGTTTTTTAATGATACCTTAACTGTGATCAAACTTTGACAAAATATAGCCTACAAATTAAAACAAATCTTTCAAAACAACAACTAAAGTATGTTAAATGTACTTATTCCTGATAAATATAACTCATTTATCAAGTTAAAGTTTACATAGTCAGCTATGAGCGACACAACTGTTTGATACTACCAGACTATCTAAAATAGAAATAGTCTGAATGACATGTTAACTAACAACTTTGCGACTGCAAACTAAATCTTTTTACTGTTAACCAACTTGTTAGATAATAAATGATTCTAATTAGCATTTCTTTATATTCACATTTCACCAGTTGACAAAACAATTTTCATATTGACTAGAACCTATTCGTGTTACAATAACTACTTGACATGATCATGAAGACGAATAGATTGTACTAATAATATTCCAGACCGAATATGAAGTGCAGAAGATATAAAACTATACACCTTTAAGAAGTGTATCCTTCTTTGTCTCCGTCTATAGATGATAATGCTGAGTAGAGTGCAATTGGGTCTTTTACTGTACCGTATATAATAATATATGCAAGTATATAGTAGTCGCATACTATAAGTGTGAAGCATTTTTTTTAAAAATCGACATGTCTCACTTACTTGTGTATCATATCCATGTGGCATACGTTTAATTGCATTGGCTATATTTGCTAAACGAGCTGCCTCGTAGACTTCTTCTGCAGTTGCATTCAAATTACCATATTGAAGATTATAGAATATAGTATTATGAAATAAAACTGTATCCTATATGAAACAACAAGATAATTTATGAATGGATTGTTCAGCAAAAACATTTACACAATTCATGTTGAGTTATTAACAGATGTATTTTTTTTTGTTTTGAAAAAAAGGAAGGTATGATTATTGTCGGGGACGTTCGATCCCCAGAACTCGCTTGATAAATGCCTTAATTTTGGATTTAATGTTTCCGAGCATGATCTGATCAGTTGACTTTGAGATTTCATTTCCCACCAGAAAAATCCATGGCTGTGATTGGCTGCTGTGTATTTTTTAGTGTGCTATTTTTGTGACTGTCCCAAGGACGTTTCTATGATGTATAAATAAACGCGGTTTGTGTGCTTGATTGTATTGAGCTTGCTAGGTGTTTGTAGAATATACTTTCTACGCTTATCAAGACTTCTTGTTAGCTGTTTGGTGTCAACGGATCAGAGTAGCCTACCTGGATGCTGGGTCATTGTCTCGTTCTTGTTTATCGACTAAAGTGAACTCGTAATAGTTCCAAGCATACCTAGTGACGAATCATAACAGTTATGTGACAACATTAAAGATCAAACTTTGTACAACGCATAATAACTGATGGTTTAAGACTCAGATGAAATATTCATTCTCTTTGATCACTTGAAGTTTGACTTTGAAAGAAATAATGACTTTAACTATTGGCAAGGTACTTTCAACGCTTTGCTATGCTGTAAATATATTTGCATACATTTATTGTACACCTATATTTGATAAATTTGATAAACCTGTTAGTTGAATATTCGGTCAGGATTTGATTGTGAACAATTTGGTCTCGCGTGCTGTTACGGGTATGAGAGTGGATGTCACTTCACAGCTGCCCACACCGTGGAAGAGTGATTCTCTTGAGGAGGATGAAGAAAAGGTAGATTAGCGTTGGTCTTAGAAGCCTGAGGAGCGTGACCGTAGAGTCTAAGGGACAACTACTTGAGGCCGGTCAGACACGGTCTTTTTATGAGAGGTTTTGAAGTGTTGGCGTCGTTCTTGTTTAAAAGACCCTACCGCCGAAAACGGAAATATATGAAGTGTGACATCTTTGCGGTTGACCTTTTCTAACCGCTTCCTTCCTTGTCAGAAGGCGGCATCGCTGCAGATACTCGTCGTCCGAGGGAAACATCCTACTGCTGTCACACCCCTCTGCAGTCAGAAGTACGACTTTGCTCTCAGACCTTGAGTAGCTGGTTTTAGTCTCATCGTTCTCGAATCGACCTACCTGGCATGGTATGACCTTTAGGAACATATTTTCCAGTCATTATAGCTCGGTTAGGTCATCACGATAGGCAAGCCCGACCACCACCAAAAGGTAGCAGCTATGGTCGGGTAGCTGAATATTGCTATCTATTTTTAGATTTGATATGCTTGAGTAAAGAACCACAGAGATTGCTTTCTGTTCGTCATTTAAGATAATGATACGAAGAATGACTACTACGCCTAATTATCAGCACGTATGAGCAACCATAAAACAACAACAATTTCATATTTTTCAACCATGATGTGTATTGTTTTCTGGTGTAAGAATAAGTTGGACAAAAGCCAAAGGCGACTAAACCAAAACAAAGGCATTAGTCCGTGATATCAGTGACTGTCGGTCTAAGCTATGTTGGTGGATGTAGCCTATCTGGTGGGGGGCCGCTTGATAACTTTCATCAGTGGTCGGTGATGTTTGTTGACAACGTTCAAAATCGATCACAGTGAGGCATAGATACATTCAGTCTTTATCATCTTTCGTATATTCAGTTGTGAAATTATTTTATACTTTTTGTTAATCTTCGTCTAATCTCTTTCGACTGACACCACTATTATTACCGATTCGCACTTGGCGTTTGTCAGCTCCTAAATCCATTGCACTGAATATCTCAAATTATATACTAACAACGTTCAAAAATTCATTTTTATTCTTACTGTAATTGCAACGTTAAACTTCAGACAACATACAATTGACTTAAAATTCAATAGCCAGTGTTTCAACTGCTCTAGCGAAATATATCACCCTTGTTCAACTTAATCTCAAATAACTAGAATAATTCAAGCACGCATTAGTCATTGCATATTACACATTTAAAGATTCATAATAATCAATTAATTACCTGTGGTATAACTGCTATTGAACGACGTAAACTGTCTAAATTCACTGATCGAACATCTTGACCACCAATTAGAACACTACCACTGGATACATCAAAAAATCGATAAACTAGTCGAACAATTGTTGATTTTCCTGTACCACTTCCACCAACAATAGCTACTCGTTGACCAGGTTCCACCTTAAGAAAAAAAAGTAAGAAATGATGAAAATAGAAATGTTCTTTGAATTGATATGGTGTATGATACCAGGGATATATTGAAGTTGAATATAGTCAGTTATGTAGAACTAGTGTTATATATAATCTAGGAAGAATGTACAAGGTCAATTAGTTGTCAGAACATTGATAAGTCATCAAGATGGATAGCAAGCAAAGAAGCAATCTATAGTTAGCAGTCTTGTGAAAATTTACACCGTACGTAACGATAAAAAGAGTAAAAGAATCTGCGTCACTGAGACCTATAGTCCATGATTTCATGGAATGACGCCGAATCCTAATCTAGGTCTTTAACGATTTCGTGTTTATCTCCACTTTTACAACGGTTAGTCAGTAAACGAAACGGAGAATGGTCACATAAATATTACACTAGTTAGATAAATAATATCTTTCAAGTTTTCTTTAGTGAATATTTTATGTAAAAGAAATCTAATCAATAAAAACTGAAATAAACTTACCAGTTAAACAACTTGACAGTTGTTAACTCTGCTTCAAACTTTCATTATAATTTCTTAAAGATCAGGCGGAAATAGCACCATATTCACATACAGGAAGTATTCATAAGAAAATATAATGAAATGAAGTGAGAACTGAATCAATATGGAAATGACATGCCTGCCAACAAACAGTGAGAACACGTGTTACAAGAGGTGATAGAGGCGATGACAGAGCACGATGAAAACTTTCACGAACCAATTGCGATTCCAGTCATTGAAGAACTCACTACAACCTCTCACAAACTACTACCACTACTACTGGAAATCGAATCAGGTTCCTCTATTTGGAAAATGAGAATGCTGTCTAACCTGAGTGAAATACTGACCAGAGAAAACATGGATCGTATTGAAAATTATTAACTTTATGTTGGATGACAGTTGTTTTGAGTTTCAGATATCCCTTAATTGTAGAAATGTTGCCATTGATTTGCCGATCCGCACCTTCATATCTGCATCAAATACACACTGCTCATCAATGATGTTGCCCATATACATAACGGTTTCTACATCCTCTAAAGCTTCTCTTTCAAGTGTGATTTGGTTTGTGCATGTTGTTCGTTGCATCGGTAGATCTTGCTTTTTGCCTTGTGTACGTTGAGACATAACGCTACAGAGGCTACTGCTACACTGGTCGTCTCCTGAATTTGTTGTTGTGCGTGGAATAGAAGGGCTAGACCATCTGCAAAGTCCAGTTCATCCAGCTACATCCAAGCTGTCTCCACGCATCTAGAATCTTTAAATTATGGACTGGAACTCAAAACAACTATCAACCAGTATCAAAGTCAGAATTTTCGATACCAACGTCAAGACAGCTCTCCTGTATGGAGCAGAAACTTGGAGAACTACGAATGCCATCATCCACACGATACAGATATTTATTAACACTTTTCTACGCAAGATATTCCGGATCCGTAGGCTAGACAATATCAACAACAACCTACTGTGAGAGAAAACAAACCAGATCCCAGCGGAGGAGAAAATCAGGAAGTAGCACGGTAATTGGATAGGACACATTACGGAAAGCACTCAACTGCATCACAAGACAAGCTCTTACTCAGAACCCTCAAGGCCGAAAGAAAAAGGAACACACTGTGCCGGGTATTGCAGGCAGACATGAATAGCAGTTACGTAGAGCTGGAGAGGAAGGAGGAGGACAGAGTTGGGTAGGGAATGATGGTCGGCGGCTTATACTCCATTAGAGATAACAGGCGTAAGTAAGTAAGAGAGGTAATATAACATAAGCCAACATAAAATAATGTCATTCATTAACCTAAAATTGTATAGTTATTCCCATTAAGAGATAGTTGGGGTGTGTAAAGAAGTTATCGACAACTTTTTCCAATCTATACTATCCCAATGACTTTTCTTGTTTGCGCTTTTAGTACATTAATTCTGTTGCACTGCAAGATCATATTGATTGCCATAAACAGACAATTGTACTATTACTGTTTCGAACTCCTTCAAAATTAAACTCTCCCTCCCCCCCCACCTAATCTCTTTTTAATCAATTACGTTAAGGATTATTGTTAGAAGAGTTGTATAGTAGCCGTCCGAATTGTCTACTTTGCATAGATCTCGTTTTGTATGAGGAGAATTTGTGGAAATACAGTCAATGACAAATTTGATTTTTGATGCTTTTTTTATAACAACTAAATTAACTATGTGTTAGGATATTCATCCAATATCCTAAGAGAATTATTGGTCAAATCCTATTGCTCGATTTCTATTGGTCAAAATTATGGTTGTTTTAACTATCAAAGTCAAATACTTCAACGTTGTTTCTTATTGGTCATCCGGACTGTCAGTCATTTCAAATGTTCTTTCTTATTGGTTGTCCTGACTATCACTGTCACAGAATTCGATGCTGTTTCTCATTCGACCAAAATGTATAAATACGCATTATTTGTAACATTCTATGACCACGACCAGGACCCAGGGCTCGGTTCCGGATAACTAGTCTGGGATCCTGATTCTCATATGGATTCGGACCTCGTACTTTTCGGATGCTTGTAGAATACAGGTTCTACTTCACATTCAAGTCTTCTTGTTTTTACTTATTATGGGGTGCTGGGATTATTGGATTTGAGTAGTATGTCGTGTCACCGGATCCTCGATCCTCGCTCTCGTTTTCCGACTAGGTAAACTCGTAATAGTTCAAGTATATCAAGTTGACGTGTTTACGTGTAGGCGTAACACTATGTCACTAAACAAAAAGGGCAGTATCATTCAAAAGATAATAATTTTCGAAAAGAAACTAATAATAATAATAATAATAATAATACTTATCTATTATCATAAAAAGCTTACCTTAAAACTTAATCCATCACATATAAGTTTGCCAGGTTTTAATAAAGAATCTTTAGGATCTTTAAAGTAATAAGTGAATTTAACATCACGAAATTCTACAGATGAATTTGATCGATCAACATGTATATTTGGTGCATTCGGTAAAGACTATAACAAATAGATATATATATATATATATCCAGTCAATATTTTCCACAATATGTAAGAAAGTAAAACAAATCAGTATGAATACAATAGAGAAAACAAGAGTGATAATACATTGCATTTTACAATGAAATAGTGTATTAATCCAAATGAAGCAATCATCAAAGCGGAATGGAGTCAGGCGAAAATAAAACAAGGCAACAAAGTAATAAACACATAATGTCTTCCACGGTGTGGGCAACCGGGAAGTGACAACCTCTCTCATATCCGTCACAGCACATGAGACCACATTGGTCAAAATCAAATCCTTCCTACACCCCTTAATACCTCTCTTATCTCCACGACTAACTAAACACATAACTTGATGATTAGAAAACTGACGGTTAGACTTCAGCCATATGTATATAGGCAGCAAACAAACACAGACTATCCGGTTGAGATTAAAGTAATTATGGTTGAAGACATTGGCTGAGAGCTCAGAACCAGTGCTAATGACATAGATTGATTCACTGTTTAATTTATTTTAAATTCTGAGTTTGAAAATTCTTTTATGATTTCGCTTATTTGTTAGGGGGACATAGATGGTATTAAAACATGACTACGTTTCTGCGTCCTGATTGGCTAATTTCCTATCCAATCAGCGCCTGATCGATTCTTGGAGAACAGGGTAGAAAGTTCTCGTGTTGTTAGCTGCATGCTGATTGGCTAAATCTAATCCAGTCGATCACGTGAATTACAATCCAGAAGCTTCTCATGAAAATACTATAAAGAATCTAACGTTGTATCTATTTTGCCTTCGCCTTCGGCTTCTTATTTCCATTTAACCTTGCTATTTGGAATATAATCTTTTCCTGTTCCACCGTGTTTTTAATTCTTTGGAACTTGTCCAGTGTATTGTGGTCAGAGAATACTAAGCAATAGGATTTGGCCGTAAATTATCTAAGCAGGCATTACAACAATATGATGACAAACATGCGCAAAATTAAACTCGTTTGTTAGCATGTGTGAAGTGATCTTTGTCAACTAATCGTTCCCCCAGTTGATAGTTCTGTGTTCGATTCAACTTGTTAAAACTGTTTGTGATGTTGTGAGGTGTAGTGAATTATTTAAGCAAGCGTTACAACATTATTCCATGAACCATGTTGTATATATACAATCTTTCCTATTGACACTAGTGAATATTACTTATCATTAATCAGGGTTCATCCTCTTTTTTTGTGTATCTCATTATAGTTATCAATAAACTGGTTATGTTCTGATTAGTTGAAATGTATTTTTTTTCATAGACAAACATTTAAGAGCGCATTTTTACGTTTCATTGTTTTTATAATTGACTAGTGTTGGTGTCTGTCTTATTATCACCTTGAATGTAAGCTTGAATTGAGCTAGCCGTGATTTATTGTAGAACCACATAAAATTATTGATATAAACATAGATGTTCGAGTAACCAAAATAATCTTCTTACTCAA